AAAAATTGACCTTGAACCCGGCTTGGGAGTACGATGTAATTTCGAGCAGTGAGTCCCGGCTTTTCAATGAATATTCTCAATAATTTTAATAATTGACTTTGGTTGAGTATAAAAATGAAGCAAATAGGATAAGGTAAAGATTAAATTTAACATTTATGTTATAACTTTTAGTAGTGAGACTGCTCCGTGGGACCTATTTGGACTTAATCTTCAACTTATTTGAAATTGGGCACATTTTTGTTAACGTAAAGGTAGTGTTGTCTTTAAGAACATATAGAAATAAATCGTGGCAAACTGCAACTATCTATTTTACACAGTCACGTGTTAATCAACAGCCACAAATATTTAAAGGCTGAACATTGCTAACAATGTTAAATGAGTTGGGATGACGTCCCCTTTTGTTGACGTGATATTACCGATCAAATTAACCTTAAACCGGATCTAGGCTATTCCAGGGGACAAAGACATTTTTTTTAACAGGGGTCCTCGGAATTGTATGGCCAAAAACCTCAGTAAAATTAGGAAGGTCAACCCACTGGTATAAATACATTAAATGCTGAAGTCATTGAAACAGTAGATCAGAGCAAAATATAAGAGAAAGAGATATTAATTTAATAGAAGCTTATTTCAATATTTTTCTTAATATAAGTTATAATTTACTTGTGTTTGGTCTGTGAAGTGCCTATTTTTTCACGGCTGTACAAAACTAGAGTACGGACTCATGAAATCAGGTCAGCTGCTATTTTCATTATTAGACCTAGAGTTAAAACCATGCGTAATTGTAGAACTATTTAACAATATGTTTTCATTCATTCCGTGTATTTTTGCCCGTTGCTATTTTTGAGTGCTATTATTGAAAGGTTGTATAAATATTGCGACTCATATTTATTGCGTTAATTTTTGTGTGTGTGTTCATTTTGTTGCGTGATTCATTTTGAGACCTTTCTGTGGCCATTTGTGTCTTTAGAGTTGTATTAAAAGTTCATATTGATTTATACATTATATATAATATAATATTTTAATAAATATTTCAGAGAACAAAGATAAAAACATCAATCAGTTATGATCGTCTTTGGATCCCTAAGTTTCTGCGTGATTTTGGTGGCTAGCATGATCCCAGGGAGATCCGCACAGGCAGTGACAAACACTACAGGTAATGCTTCTACTTTATAATTCATTGTTCAAATTTAAATCTCTTCACACAGAATAGGCCAAATAATAACAGCGTCGAACATCCCGCATCTTGAAAGCGTACGTCACGTGGGTGTGTCGGCGGTGCCCGGCTCTTGGTAGAAATGAAGACAAGAGGGGAAGTTGTCGGTGGAAATGGGTCTCTTGACGGAGGAACAAGTATTCAGCGTTGACCATTATCTTTGCTCGTACATAAGTGGTCGAGAACAGGACCGAGTCAGAACGTCGCCGAGAGAGGTTAAATAAGACCGGCCCAAGAGATATTGTTATAAAAGTGTCCGAACGACTCCGAGAGAGCTTTTACTAAGATGGGCCCAAGAGCTATTGTTATACAAATTTCACCGATCTGAAAAAGGACTGCATCAACGGAGTGGGGAAAGCTGGTAGGGGCTGAAGCTATACACAGTGGGGAAAAACGCTTGTAGACGTTCAAGATACAGTACTGTCTAATGTTTGAATTTAGTTGTATTTAATGCACGAGTTTTCTTCCTATCACAGACATTGATGAAATTTTAAAAAAATAAAAAAAGAATGAACGTTTTGTGACTTGATTCAAAGGTCATTTTTTTAATAGCGGATGTCACATGTATGATTATTTCATTATTTGCCTATGCTAATTACTTTTTAATATAAAGCTTTAACTTTAATAAGGCTCTTTCTAAAAAATAAGATTTATTAGTAAGAGTTCGGAGTGTGTAACATACATTGATACGCATTAGTCAGCAGACAAACATGTCTCACTGTTTGAACAATTCTCTTTCTACCATTGTTTTTTCAATGACTCTCAGCAGATGCATCATTTCTAAGGATTTCGCCTACAGTACGGCTGTGATTTTTTTTAAATGCACCAATCACCCCCCATAATGCTTCCCCCCCCCCCCCCCATTATTTCCTCAGCCACATTCCTTTCCTTCAGTCCACCTCATCCCCTGTCCACTCTCTATTTCTTACTTGCCCTATCCCCTGGACCCCTCCTGCCCCTAAAGTATCACGCTTTGACTCCCCCACCCCCATCCCAACACGTCGTAAAACCCCAACTATCTCCCCATCCCCAATATTATTCGCTGTTCACATTTTGGGATAGGGATAATGGAATGGGAGTAGACATAATATAGTGCCTACAATACAATGGGCGATACTTTATTATGCAGACATCTTCAAAACTGTAGAAGCACTAGAAAGGGATATGAAGCCCACACATCAATTTGATCGAAAATTGTGTAGGCTCTGGTAAATGACTTTTTAAATGCATTTCTATAATATGTTCTAAAAAGCATCTAGGTAAAAAATATCAACTTTCAGCGGTTCTGTGGTTTCACCACCAAAGTCTACCGTCAATCACCATTTTTATTATGGAAGAGCAGCGTTGCTCGAGGCATTGTTTTTCAAATAGTCCCCTTGTCCCGTTCCCCCCCCCCCCCCCCTCCTCGTCCTTTTTTGGTTGCCACCCCCCCCCCCCCAGCCAACGCCGGAGAATGAGAAAGAGGGCTCAAATCAGAGAAACTAATTGCCCCATAAAAATGTCTTCCTAGCTTGCGGAGGACTTCTAACCGCTCAAGCGGGGACGATTATTTCCCCTTCTTTCCTAAATGGTTCACCAGAAGAAGTGACGTGCTCATGGCTGATAACAGTTGCAGAAAACCAAGTTATAACACTAAGGTATGTTTAATCATACTGTCAATGAATGTTTATGTTTTATGTGCCCAGTGAAAAATGACACTATCTTTTTTATGTTTACATTTATGTGTTACATTCTATAATGCTGTGCTAAAACAGAAGAGAAAAAAATCAATTTTATGATAAATAAATACATCCTCATGTAATTAAAATTCAGCCATTGAATTAAAATATAAATAATAATTCTTTAAGTATGGTGTATATATATATATATATATATATATATATATATATATATATATATATATATATATATATATATATATATATATATATATATATATATGGTTGTCACGATGTGTTCAATAGGCGCAACGAAATAAAATTCCAAGAAGATAGCACTAGTAGGTGCGTTTTCAAAGTGCGTTACTTGAGTTCATGTTTTGTCAAGTTAGTACAGTTAGTGGATGGGAAGTTTGGCCACTGCCGCTGCCAATGGTTTGGCGGGTTATTGCCAGCATAATGTAATATCACAGATCATCTGATGTCGTAAACAAATAGCTGAATAACGTCGATCGTTCTTAAAAGTCAATAGTGTCGATCATATTTATCCTTTTGACTTGTTATTACCATACGATGACACATGTGACGAACACGTTCGTGAGCCGAGTCAACTCATAAACACGATGGAATCGCTTCGTCGTGCGCCCGGAGAAAACAAAACAACAAAAAACTTTTCTTAAATCAATTTACAGATGGGTCTTTGTGCTTCAACGATCTGCGCATTGTGCTATCAGTGCTCGCAGGGGAAACTGAACACCGATATTTTATAGAATTTATGTGGCTCTTTCTTTATCTTTGAATCGGTCCAGCTCAAAAATTCAATGTTGTCCCATACAAATGTATAAGTACGAACCATGAACCATGCTACCAACAAAAGAAATTTAATCGAAGCTGGGTCTAGGCATATAAACAATTGGCATGTGTACATTTGATGAGTTTAGACTCTAGTATTAGATCTAGTTCTGTTATCTGTTTTTCTTTAAAGTGATGTCTGTCTTCATAAATTGAAGATTTAGATTTTAGCGTATAACCAGAAGCTCATTATTGTTATGTATGAACTTAATAAGCCCTTCTTTACTGTAGGGAGACTATTTTACGAATTTTAAAGGGGGTTAGTTCCAGACATACATGCGGCGGTATATATGTTATGGGCATTGAATACTTTAGATATGATAAGTATATTATTTAATTTATTGATAATATCCGATGTAATTATCTATCGATTTTAAAACAGCAATATTATTTATATTTATAAGTGATCTTGTTAAAATTATCTTCTTTAGCAACACATTTGAAAAAATTAATGACGAATAACGAAAAATGAATAATCAAAAAATAATTAAAAACTAAAACCAATTCTATAACCGTTTGCTATTGTTTTCTTATTTCCCAAAACATTTGTATTATTGCAGATTATTCAACTTCGATATACACATAACCGATACTGTTATGTTTTATGACGGCTTCGATGGTACACGCTTAAATGAAGGCAGTGGTAATCAAACAGATTATTGGCCTCATGAGAAGCTCTCCAATTTCCGTATCGATACTGCTGGCAACAAATTGGAAATTGTTTTTCGTGCCACGGGAGCCACGTCTGGGCGAGGATTTTCTGCATATTATTGGGCTAAAGGTATTTTATACATATTATTGGGCTAAAGCTATTTTATGCATATTGTTCGGCTAAAGTTATTTTCTGCATATTCTTGGGCTAAAGGTATGTTCTGCATAATGTTGGGCTAAAGGTATTTTCTGAATATTGTTGGACTAAAGGTATTTTCTACATATTATTGGGCTAAAGGTTTTTTCTGCATATTATTGGGCTAAAGGAATTTCATATTTTATTTGAAATATAATAATATGTATATATATTTTTAATGAAAATGTTTATAAGAATCAATCATAAATTTAGTAATGTATTATAATTTATTGAACAAAAAATTAAGATAAAAATGACAACGACAAATAAGTGTGTATGATTGTTTCACATTGATATCTTATATGATCACTTTTTCAAACGATACATATTTTATTCGACGAAATTGGTTTCTTCTGTTTAATGGTTCATTATTCATGTATTTCTCTTGACGTCTTTCATTAATTATTGCACTGTCGATCTTAAAGCGAGATGCCCACCTTTCACCTACGGTATTGACTGTGACCAGAACTGCACCTGTGAACAAGAAAACACATTGCACTGCAACAGTAAATCGGGCGAATGCACCTGTAAGGGCGGTTGGATGTCTGAAAGGTGTGAGGTCGACATCAATGAATGCGATGAGCCCAACATCTGCCCAGATGTGTACTCTCACTGCAACAATACCCCTGGGAATTTCTCGTGCGACTGCAAGGAGGGAATGGAGCTCAACTCAACAGGGGAATGTGCCTGTAAGTATGTCGCATATGTGTAAGCAATGTATCTGTAAGTGAATCATGTATATATATATCAGCAATAGGTTATATTGTTTATTATTATTTAAGTGATGTGTCTGTAAGTATTAGGTAAATATGCAAGCAATGTGTCTGTAAGTATACATTTATATATACACGCTGTGTCCGAAAAAAAATCGGAAAACATTTGATAAAAATTGTTCAGGGGAGAGTGCGACGTGAAGCCCCTGTTGACGCTAATGGTGGGCACTTCCAACACAAACTCTAGTTTTAATAAAGTTTTAGATTTTGTTAGAATTAAAATGATTTTAGGGATTTTATTTAAAAATTGATAAAATTTACCATTAGATTTTATCATCATTAAAAAGTGTTCACTTTTTTTCCGGACACATTATAAAAATGAAATACGTCTGGTCGTGTCATTGGTAATATGCACTACTATAACATCTAGTTGTTTTGTGACACATCTTTATAATAGTAGTTTGTCCAACTGGATGTCATCATTTTATGTACGACCATAATGTGTTCATAACTTCTTTCATTTGTTCAACGAAACAATGAATCTCTAGTGCTCAGGGTGGACTATTAGATTTGTATGCACGCATTTTAATCAAAGTAATAATATTTATCATTATCATATTGATATAAATCCCTACATATGTTTTTTTTTTTAAATAGCGACTTGTAAAACTCCAAACAAATGCTCACACGGCTGTGGTACAATATCAACAAATCCTCCCATTGAACGGTGCCACTGTCCTAAAGGGATGGAAATGAAATCAACAAATGATGGCACCTGTTTTGGTAAGCTTTTTATATTTAATTTTTTTTTTCTGCCAGAAATTAAATCGCTTTTTTTAAAGTTTAATTTAAATTTATAATGATTTTAATTAAGATAATGACATTTAAAACTTTTGTAATTATGGAGTTTAAAAAACCCAGAAAAGTAACAAATGGAAAGGAAATATATTGTAAAAAGGAAAGAACACATCTTCTTGGCATGAAGCACTAGGATACGTGGAGGCCATCACCTACTATGGTAGTACCATGGACATGGATGGTGGATCAGAAGCATATTATGATAGAGCCTAGAATTGGAAAGACTAGGTCAGACTTTGTGCTATTTCAGAAAATAAGGGAGTCAAACGAACTGACTCTGCCTACAAAGTTAGGATTGTCAACACAAATGTCTCAACAGTCCTTCTTCAAGGAGATACAAACTTGGAGTACAAAAGTGAGCATGAAGCAGAATGTACAGTATAAGCATGAAGCAGAAAGTACAGTAAAAACATGACGCAGAAAATATGGTATAAGAATGACGCGGAAAGTATAGTATAAGCATGAAGCAGAGAATACAGGATAAAGCAGGACGCAGAAAGCACAGTCTTGTAGAGAACCCCGGCTCGCCCTTGTCCTACTTTCATTCTCTATTCGGTGTTTGGATGGTAACACTTGCTTCAGCTGTCACTCCTATTTCACCAATCAGACAACTCAGCGATTGTTGTAGACTTTGCTCTCTTATCGATCCGTTACTTCGATTTGTTTTTCTCTCTTCTCGCACTCAACTCCGACCGTCCCGGTTCGTCTCTCTGTCCACTGTGTCCTCACGACTGTCCTATACTCCTATCCAACGGATATGAGTAGAAGAACACTTGCCTAAGAAAAATCTTGACATTGATATGGCCAATTGTCATCAACAAAACATTCTTAATGGAGAGGGCATATCAACACCCTATTGCTCGAGACTTCACACAGAAAAGATCGCGGATGGATAGGAAACTGCTTGAAAACCTCCAGGAAACATCCACAGACAATAACTAGCATCGAACCCACGAGGTTAGACAAAAGGAAGCCAAAGAATAACACGAGACTCGGGCTAAAGGCAGGCACACAAAAGTTTGGGATACTGGTACACCTGAAATCAACTGGCAAGGAAAGCACAGGACCGACATGAATGGAAAACATTTTTTTACGGAATATTTTCCATGTTGGCATAAAAGGCATAATTAAGTTAGTAAAGAAGGGAAGACAATAATTATGTGTGCCTTCTGCCAAAGCAAGAAAATTTGAATTGTTCATTCATTGGAGAAAACAGAAATAAATTGCAACGAAAAAAAAATTATTTAAAAAAAAAAAAAATTATGGGAAAATTACACAATGGCTTTTTTAGTTCATTTTGTTGACTTTTGATTTTCAGACTGTAGAGACTGGTTATTTGGAGAAGACTGCAAACATCAGAGCGCATGCGACAAAAGCAATTCGAAGTCCCTTAACCGCGTCAATGGCCAGTGTAGCTGCTACGCCAACTGGACATCATCCCTTTGCATGTACGATGTGAACGAGTGCTCTGTTGACAACATCTGCAACGATACCAATTCTTACTGTGAGAATACAAGGGGCTCTTTCCAATGTTACTGCGAATCGGGCTACGAAACACTTGATAATGCAAGATGTACCAGTGGTGAGCAATACATTTTAACATTTTTATCAATAGTTAGTGGTAATTAAGTCATTGCCAGGTCAAGCAGACACGCGCGTTCTGTGATAAGACATTAATGTGACACAAATAAATATAGGCAAACGTGATTATATAAAAATATAAAAAAATAAATTTATTATTATGTTCAGATGTAAGCATTATGCAAATTGAAAATTTAGACTTAATAAAATGTTTCATTTGTCTACATGAACAATTTTTTTATATTTCGAGAGGAAAAATTTGCTCCAGGATGCCTAAGTTTCTTCTTTTTTTCTTTTTTTTTTTAAATAGTCCAACAAATTCTTTATCTTTTAATCCTTGTATTTCTACAGGGTAATACAATTAAATAAACCTATTTCATAATTCTCAACCATAGCATTTTGAAAGTTAACCAGCAAAGAGCGTACTGTAAACAAAAATGGGCACAGCTTTATCTTTCGGTCGCTGTCATGTTCACATTTTAATGTTTATAGATTTAAGCTCAATTTTTTTTGTGGTGGGCCCTGCTCTCTTCGTTTTGGCCTCGCTGCACTGTGACTATTAAAATAGTTACAATTTATAGATGAACACGTATTCTCACACGGCTTGTTACGTTGTATCCTCGTCTCAGTTACAACTTTTCAATGGCTTGCTCCGTTGTGTTCTCGTCCATGTAAGAACGCCCGATGGCATGCCCAGTTATTTATTTTTTTTGTCTCAGTCACGTATTCTCACCCAATGGCATGCCTCGTTGTGTACTAGTCTTAGATAGAACTTGAATGTTATCACAAAGTTAAATTAATCCATGTCAATCTAGTTTGTTATGGCATTAGCATTGAACAATACTATGATAACGTCCCTTTAAACGTATAACTATAATATGAAAATATGATAATAGTATGGATATAAAAACTATTTTGCTTTTCTTCTCTGCTTTAATAATCCAAAAATAGGCATATAAATTAGTTGATCATCTTCTAGCTGTTTTTTTTTTGTTTTTTTACAAATCTCTTTAGTATGTGGGAAAACAATGAGAACTTCCTCAGGTAATATTGGATCAAGTGCAAGTCATTCTAGCCACAAGGATTGCTCATGGACGATCATTGTGAAATTGGGTGACGTAATCGATTTAAAGTAAGTTACCGACATATTCATTATTCTAAATAAATTACCGAAATTGACAAGTTACCATTACTGAATCATGCAAAACATGTAATTCTTTGATTTAAAACTTCATTGAAATGAATTGAAAAATCACGTTTTTGTAATATCAACAGTTTTTCCTAGCAATTCATTGTGTAATACCCCACCCCCACAAACCCACAAAAGCAAAAAATAAAAGAAACAATGACCAAAACCAACCAACGTATTCTCAAACAGATTTACGAGTCTCCTTCTTTACGGTGGTCGTAGCATAGCCAACCACAGCTATGTAGCCATTTACGATGGACCCAATGCGACGGCGCCATTGCTGAGACTTGTCGGCGGATTGAGTTACCACAACGGCCGTGTACCTGACGGCTCTGTGAGGACATCTGGAAATCAAATGCACATCGTTCGCAGTTCGGAGTACTACGATATTGGGGAATTCAGGGCCGCCTATACGTCTTTTGGTACGTGAATATTTTATGCTAACTATTTGGTATTGCTCAGTGATTGATTATTACTTGTAAAAAAAACACGCTAGTTCTGATGGAATGCTGCATACAATAATAAATGAAACAGCACCGTTCTCTCCATAGCATTTATGAGAGACTAAATTTTATCTGGCCTACAAATATTTTAAAGTATGTATTTATTTAGAGTAAGACTACAAATAAATATTGAGTCTTGACCTTGCATAAATCCTCCTGTTCTCAATTGTAAATTAATCATCCGAATATATACATGAGCCATTATTTATTTTTTTTTTTACTCCTCCTACCCCCCCCCCCCCCCCCCCCATACAAATAAAAATTGAGTCTTGACCTTGCATAAATCCTCCTTTTTTCAATTGTAAATTAATCATCCGAATATTTACATGAGCCATTATTTTTTTTTTTTTTTACTCCTCCCCCCCCCCCACCCTCAGAATGCAAGGACTTTTTTTATGGCACCAACTGTTCAACTCCCTGCAACTGTTTCAAGAATAACACAGACTACTGTAACAGTACTACGGGACAGTGCATATGTAAACCACATTGGACATCTCCTGAGTGTACAGTAGACAAAAATGAATGTCTGGTAGATCCACTGGCATGTCCCAACTATTCGGACTGTCTAAATCTCCAACCTGGTTATCAATGTGATTGTAAGATGGGACTGGAGAAAGACGATAAAGGACACTGTACACGTATGTTACATTATTTGTCTTTCGTGAATATGAAAAGAGTCACGCGTCACTGTTAAGTAGGTAGCAACAGTTGTAATCAATTATACATTACTTTATGTAAATATAAGAAGTCAAGTTTTTAATGCTCGAAACTATTCATCCCTTCCTGGTAGGGTAAAAAAAAAAAAAATTATATAAATAATATGAACGCATTTTTTAAAAAAAAAGTAAAATCACTTTATTCATTCATTCATGTTCCGGCTTTTCAGATATTAAATCAAGTTCGGGTTCATGCACTACTAGAAACTGTTCTCATGTCTGTGTCCGGTCAAATGAGACACAAGAGGAACACTGTTACTGTCCTATTGGTCTGGTACTGGATGGAGAAGAAACGTGTGTCAGTAAGCTCATATTTTCATTCCATAATTAACACAATTCTTTTGTCGAACCGTCATTTTCTCACTCATGATGCCAGTTGGTCTACATCAAGAACACTTAACATACTGATCTTCAGTTAGAGCTGCTCCAATAAGCCTATGTTCAAGAAGAAAAAGTCTTATTTATACCAATATTAAGTAACCATGACGTCCATCTATGTATAGATTGTTTACAGTTGGCTTACGCTTTTGCCCCTTTCTCATCGCATATTCACTTCTTATTTAAGAGTTTCAGTCAAAGTTAGAGAGTAATCCAATCGTTTTCTTAATTATACTGAAAATCCAAGCATATTCTGCACACAAAGCTGACTTAATGCATGATTTAAAAAAAAATTATATTAACATATGATATTGGTATTTTAGATAATACAATTTTTTTATGCTTTACTTTCAAATACGGGAACATGTTTTTGGAATGACAGATTAATCTTTTTACAGAAATGACTTTATTTCTAAAATAATGTTTAAAAAAAATTCAAATTTCAGATTGTAGCAATTCAACATTTGGCCCCGCCTGTTCTTTAAATTGTTCGTGCGTGCAAGACAACACAGCTTCCTGTGACCCCGCAACTGGACAGTGCTTCTGCTTGCCGGGTTGGACCTCTGATGATTGCTCACAGGACATCGACGAATGCTATTCCGATTTGTACGCGTGTCCACGGTTCTCCGTCTGCAGCAACACCCCGGGCAACTACAGCTGCGAGTGTGACACGCGTTTCGGTTACATAAATGTTGATAGCAGGACATGTAAGCGTCAAGGTAAGCTGGGAGCAGACGTCTTATTTTAGTTGAACTCCAATTACCTGTATTTAGACATTATACAAAAAATAAGTTCACGTAAGTGTTACCGAAATAAGGGTTTGAGATGGGTATGTTGTTTGAACATGGCTCCTTAACAAAACATAAAGATAAAAAAGAAATAAAAAAATTATAGCATCACCAAAGCTACTGAAGTAAGCAGCAACACTTTATGCATGTTGATAGTATAACACAAATGATAAATCTGGTACATCACAAACGATCAAGAAGAATATTGGAACATCAAAATGATAAATAATGTTGTTGTTTTTTTTTACCTCACAACACTGTCATCCGCACGTCTTGTATACGCAATCCGTAGTCGTGTCCGTAGGCAACGCCACACCCTCGTATTTGTCCTGGGTAGTGAAAGGTCCAGAACATTCACAACTAAATGAAGTGAACGGCCGCGTAGTTATAAAATCAAACTGAAATAGGAAAGGGGAAAAGAATGCAAACAAGTGAACTCATATAGCTCACCTCATGGGTCAAGGCCAGAGAAAGGGGGAGCAACTGTTACAGTCACAGAACCAAGAAGAAGTCAACAAGAAGAGAAAAAAAAAGGCCGGGGGTGGGGGGGGTGCAGCCAATGGCCAATGCCATATAAACAATTTTAAGCAAATAAAGCTATAGACCCCAGTAAGTGGAATCAATTAATAAATATTTGTTGTAATATTTATAAACAGCTTGCTCCCTTACATTCCTAAACACACCAACCACCCCCCCCCCCAAAAACAAAAAGGAAAATAAAAGAAAATAAAAAAAGATAATGTCGACATGTACGGCGTTAATTTGTGTTATTTATACTTAAATATTTGTTGTAATATTTATAAACAGCTTGCCCCCTTACATTCCTAAACACCCCAACCACCCCCCCCCCCCAAAACAAAAAGGAAAATAAAAGAAAATAAAAGAAGATAATGTCGACGTGTACGGCGTTAATTTGTGTTATTTATACTTTAGTTATTAGTCCCCACTGAATTCATTAAAATTCAACATCAGTGTAAAATTGAGGTATATCCATATTTATTTATATTTTTAACTTAAAATTGTTGAGGAGAAATATCTTAAAGTAATCAAAGAAATATACTCTGTACATGATTTACGATATATGAGATCAGCATGTATTTATTGCGTTGTGACTGCAATGAGATAAGGTTCCAATTATGACTTCAATTAGAACAAAGTTCCAATTGTGACTTTAATGCGAATCAATTTTCAAATGTGACTTTAATGAGAAACAAGTTCCAACAGTGACTTCACTAAGAACCAAGTTCAAATTGTGGCTTCAATGAGAACCAAGTTCAAATTGTGGCTTCAATGAGAACCAAGTTCCAATTTCATTTTCGAATAATCTGTGCATTTTTCACTCGTGCGTTTACAATTGACCTTTGAACTAGGAGATTTGTGACTCTTCAGATAACTTTTATTGATGTCTGATAGCTTTGGTATGAAATATTCTATTTCATAATATAAGCATTGTTGTTGTTGTTGTTGTTGTTGTGGTTGTTGTTGTTGTAGTTTTTCTTTACACTTTCAATGTATACGTTGTTGGTTTTTTTAATGCTAGTTTTGTCAAAATTAGCGTTTTGAAACGTTGCTTTCTAAATTTCAGATGATGGAAGTGTCAGAAATTGTTCTCTCACTAAGTGTGTAGAAAACAACACAGTCTCGTGCAGCCCTTGGACTGGCCACTGTGACTGCTTGCCCGGCTGGACATCCGATACTTGCTCTCAAGACATCGATGAATGCAGCACGCAATCCATGCCGTGCCGAGAGTACTCCAGCTGCAGAAATACAATCGGAGATTATGATTGTGATTGCAACAAAACTCTCGGCTACCAAAATGCTGACCACAAAACATGCAAACTCATCGGTGAGCCACATAACATTCCTGATATGGCATAACGTGATTAAAAATTATTGCCAATGTGCATGAAGTGTGTCAGACTTGATAAACTCGATCAGCTATTGTACTTTATGTGAGTGCCTTTTGTCGCGAAGCGATTCTTCTGTATGGCGAAGTCTTTCACGCCATTCCGTTCAGCAGTTCATCATACAGCCACAGTCACCAATGCAACAAACAGCAACCGGTTTGTTGTAAACGAAAGTTTATTTATCACTACTCGATGAACAAGACTTGATGTATAAATTCAGAATTTGATAATAAATTACTCTAACCAAATATTAATCAATATACCAATCCAAACACTTCTGCCAGTATATCCCCATCAATTCTCTCAGCACAACACTTAGCAGTATTCAAATTCACAACAGTGAATTTAGCACATCCGCCATCACTCTTCTCTAACCACAACGAAAACTAACTCGTCACTTCCAATTACACAATTACGTCACAACACTCTCACACAAACGATACGGCTGTACATAAAATCTCTAACTAACATCTTTTCCCTATCAACATGACAACGACGCTCTACACATAACAACAGTGATTCTCATACCCTCGACACCTTTGAAGAACTGTACAGTATAATACAATATGTTTTCAGATGTTATAGATTAGTGGTGAGTTCTAGCTTTTTAAAATTGTGTTTTCTTATATGTCTCGTCTTTTTTCTTCCTCGCAGATTGTATCTATACACTGACAAACTCATCTGGGACCCTATCCAGTCCTGGCTATCCTTACTTTGTAGAGCTCGACGCCAATTGTTCTTGGCAAATAACTGTAGACGAGGGCTCTGTTATATCTTTGAGGTAAATAATGACCAGATATCGTATAATACTTTTTTTAATCACATGTTTCAATTAAAAACTGACTTAAATATGCATGCAAAGGTAAACCATGATAGAACTCTGGAAAATAGATTTGCGATTAAAAAGCGCGGTGGGTCGCGATGAAGCTTAGGTTGATAAAAGACGCAAACAATTGTGGGTAAGTAAAACAGTATGGCCGTGTTTTAATTTAAAGACAAAAATTATAAGTTGATTCTATTTAGAACAATGCCATTGTTTTCTAAGGGAGACCAACAACTGTATATGAGATCTATCAGGGATAACAGCAGTATCACTCATTCTGGTAAAGAAACGAAACTGTGTTCTCTTTCGTGCCGGATATTTTCCCCAGCTGATCAGAGCATCGGACGTTTTAAAATGACAATAAAAATCATATTTTCTTACATTTTATCACCTCAACATGATTGAAACGAAAATAAAATATTTTTTTTTCTTCTAATTTTCAGATTTGAAGTTTTCAACAGTACAAATCTAAATGATGCTGTCACATTTTATGATGATAACACACTCTCACGGGTCATCGGCCGTACCGGTGTCCGATACAATCATCTCAGTAGAAATAGTCCGATGGTTCCCGGCAAATTTGGCGCTTACACTGTTTCTGGACGACACACTGTGAGATCAAATGGCAACAGCATGTTTGTGACATACTACGGGAGGTCGAGTTACGAGTCGACCGTGTTCAAAGCCGCTTACATCTCCCACCGTAAGTAGTATTGGAAAATGTTCCGTTGACAGTTGTAAATGATCTTAAATGTGTTAATATCCTGTGGTGGATTATTATCTCTGCCAGATTGCCTCCAGTCTAGGATTGCTCAGCTCTGCATCTCCAGATATGTTAGATGCTATGTAGTCGTTAAAAAGTTTTTAATTTAAAAAAAAATAATTTACTGTTAAAACCCGGTAACCCTCCCCCACTCCCCACAAAAATGGGGTCAACCTCCATGGTTTTGGGAACCTGGGTTGTACTATGAAATTATACTAGACCTACTTCTTTCAGCTTGTCTATACTTCATGTTCGGTGACAACTGCTCCGAGCCTTGCCGCTGTAACAAAGAAAATACACAGATGTGTGATAACATCCATGGCGATTGTCTGTGTCAGGCTGGATGGCAGGGACTCACGTGCTCTGATGACGTGGACGAATGTCTTGGCACCAATGACGTTCTCTGTCCAGCAAACTCTGACTGTCTCAACACACCAGGAAGTTTCAGGTGTGAGTGTCACACTGGATTTACGAACAGTTCATCCACTGGATTGTGCGAAGGTAAGCAAGCGGATGGAAACATCCCATAAAAAGAGGTGCAGTTTGTATAAAGAGCCACGTAAAGTCTTAAAACTTAAAAGTCCCTCTATTATTCTTTCCCAGCGTCAAGACATAAAGGACGCGCGTATTCTTTCTGTCCCCAAGACTCGCACAAAAACATACGGTGAACGATCGTTCTCTTTCTGTGCCCCTTAACAATGGAAGCCTCTTCCACTACACATCCGCAATATACTGACCATACAGGCCTTTAAAACTGCACTCAAAACACATGTTTTTAAACTCTATTATACTGACAGATTCTCCCCCCACCCCCGACCGAAAAACGGTGCTGCTGGGTGTCGTCCATGGCTTGACATGTAAATAGCTTTAAATATACATGTGTTTTGTTTTATTTAATTAATGTATGTTAATTAATTATTTTTTTTTAAAGTGCATGATTATGTTTGCTAAATTTAAAAGCATGTACAGCGTGGTGAGCCCAGCCCTAGGCTGGGGTACCGTGTTATATAAAGCCACTTATAATAATAATAGTAATAATATAGCAGAGATTGTGTTGAAGTCATGTGAAAGAAATATTTAAACAACATATGTTGCAGCTTGAATAAGGAAAAAAAATTAAAAGGTAATAAAACGGGACGTTTCGGCAGAAAGAATACGAGCGACTTAGCCAAAAAGATGTCATCACTTACTGCTAATGGCTCTTTTTATCTAATGTTCTTGTGTCTTAAACTGTTACTGCTACAAGCTTCAAGTTACTTCAAAATATCTTGTTCTAAATACTTCTTTACAATGTCAAGCGCGGGGAAATTATTTTATCCCTCATTATTATCTTATAATAATTTATTTTTGGTACATTTAAATGTCAGAAAAAAATTTTAATGAGAAAAACAAACCAACTCTAAAAAAACAAAGTTTTTTCATATAAATCGCATTTATTGAGTTGTACGTGATTTATCTTTTTATGTTACAGTAGCAACTTATTTTTTGGCATGGGAATGGCTTTTTATAAAACTTAGTGCATGTGAAACCTAAGAGATCAAAGATACACTTAAACCAGAAGAGACACACATACACAGCTACACCGAAACTCACGACTATTGAACAAATTATTACCATTCATCCCCCTTGAAAAACAGTGAAACTTAGGGGGGGGGGGGGTGCTGCTGAAAATTTGATCGAAGGTGCTGTCATAAACCTTCCAAAAAAATTGCCCAAAAAACAGGAAAAAAAGAAAAGATAAAATA